CTGGGCTGGGGCAGGGCCTGGGGCCTGCTGAGTTGTGGAGCCACCTGCCCCTCCTCTGCCCTTAGCTCCCGCCTGGCTGGGCCCTTCTGTCTCTGCAGCAGGGTCCAAAGGTAGCTGCAAGGCCTAGGGCCAAGTCCATGGAAATGAGCCACCAGGAGAAGGAGTTTGGAGCTGTGGGAGGAGGATAGTGCACAGCACAGCTGGCAGCCCCCCAGCCCTGGGCACAAGGGCTTTGTTCTGTCTGAGTGTGCTGGCAAAGGGGAGCTGGCAGGCCGGCCTGGGGCCGTTTCTATCCCCACAAGCCCCAGCTCCCAGAGTCCAGGGATCCACAGCCATGGGTCTACTCTAAGGAAGACAGGAGCGGGGAGAGTCCCGGTGGCTGTGGGTTGGGATCGGAGCTGGGAAACAGGGCCCTGTGGCCCCTGGGCTCTGCCTGGCTGTGGGGCTGAGCCGGGGTGGGGGTGTCTCCAGGCCAGATCCCGGTTTTGGTGTGGTGGGAGGAGAGACTGGCCGGAGGGCACCAGTGGGTGTGAATGGACCCCAGGAGTCCTGGCCCGGCCCCTCTTCTGACCACTCGACTCCACTCCCTTGCAGGGACCCCGGGCCGCCTGACCCCACCGCTGCCCAGCACCGCCTCCTCTAACCACTAAGCCTTGGTGCCGGCCAGATCCAGGTAGCGAACCCAGGCGTCCTCATGCCCACAACCTCTAGGCTCCGTTTTCCTTCCAGACCCAGGTAGTAGGGGACCCAGGAGTCTCGACCCCCCCCCAACCACGAGGCTCCCCTCCCTTGCAGGGCCCCCAGGAGTCCTCACCCCGCTTCCTCGCAGGCTTTTCCGCGGCGCCCCACGAGAGCCGGCCCTCGCTGGTCTCTGGGCCCCTTTGGGCCGCTCCCGGCATGGGCGCAGCCGGGATTTCGGAGACGTGGGGGTGCCACCTCCCGCAGCGCACGTTTTCCTCCAGGTGAAAAGGGACCAGACGCTTTCCTAACACGCGAGGGGCCCGGGGCTGCGTTATTCAGCTTCAGATCAAAGCCAAAAACCTATGCAACTTTATTGGCGTGTGTCATATGGCTCGGCTGCAGTGCCGTGCAGGGACCCAGGAGCGCCCCCGTAACCACCAG